ATTTTGATGTACATTAAAATTATTTTTAAGGTTTTAAATGTGTTTATTGATTTTATTTTAATCATTTAGAAGTGTATGAAGAAAAAATAATATTATAATTAAATTTTTAGGAGTCTGAAACTTGACTTCGATTTTCTGAGGAAGCTTTTAGCAAACTTTTTCTTCTTTTGTTTTTTATTTTTTTCCTCACCAGTAGCCCAGGCCTTGAGAAGCAAGCCCGAGCTGCCGTGGTGCGCAGGCTCGAGCTACCCTGGCGTGCAAGCTTGAGCAACCTTGGCTTGGCACAGGCCTCAGCTCGTTGGGCTGGCCTAGCCTCAAAGTCCCAATTAGGCAAAACTGACCTTGCACGTGGGCCTACACAAGCAGCCCAAGCACGCGAGCTTGGTTTTTTTTTTTCTTTTGTTTTTTCTTTCAATAGGTTATTTTTATATATTTTTTTTAATCATGGAATTAGGTGTAAAAAATATAGAAAATAGATTTTTTTTTTATAGTTTAACGTATAGTTCAACGGTGATATGATATATATGATATTTTTTAATATTTTTGTTTGAACATATATATCTAATTACATTACTCTTATTATTTAAAATTTATTTCTTATTAAAATTTTCATCAAATTAATTTTTTAATTTTTTTATAATTTTATTTGTTAATAAATTTGGTTTTATATATATATATATATATATATATATATATATATATATGAATTTTGGAATAAAATTTCGAACGTGAGTGTTTTATTTTTTGAAATATATTATTATAATTTATACGATGGATTATTTTTATAATTTTTAAATGAGAGTAGCATAGTTGCACATATATATAATTAGAATTTATTGAAACCAAATTTGTTGTAGTTTTGAGAGAGAGAGAGAGAGAGAGAGAGAGAGAGAGAGAGAGAGAGAGAGAGCTAAAATTGTGTTTTAGATTATTTGACTAATTTTTTTAAAAAAATTAATAATCAGTTAAAAGAAAACTCACAGGTTTTATTTTATTTTATATATATATGATTAGGAGTTATCGAAACCAATTTTGTAGTAGTTTTATTTTAATCTATTCACTTCGATATATTTCATACAGCTTTAGCTGGGTATATATACATGAATCATTAGTTTTGTTAGAAATTAATTTATTCACTTCAAGTATATTTGATATAATTTAGATGGGTATATATATATATACATGAATCATTACTTTTGTTATAAATTAATTATTTATCCGCACACATAACACCAATTATTGATTTTTATTTTTTTCATATTCTAAAATATGTATTTTTAAATAAAATAATTTAAATAATATTTTAAAAGAACCTTCCAATTATTCAAATACAAATTTTTATGTTAATATTATTATTTTTATTAATAAATATATATAAATCAAATAATTTTGCTCAATATGTAGATTCGATTTACATTAATTGCCATAAATAAGATTTTTACTTACAACACATCATAAGAATCGTGAGCTCTATGTATGTAACGGTTATCCGACCGCAGACTGGCACGGTATCTAACTAGTACATATATATAGTTTAGTTCACATAATAATTTAACAATTAATTTATCATAATAGTTTCAAAAACTATATATTTAATCTCTATATTTTTCAAACTACTTGTAACCTAGTCATGCATCAATTTCATGCTCTTTGTATTTTTTTTTTTTTGTTGAAAAATAAAATAAAAAAAGAGAGTTAGGTATATGAAAAACTTTGACTAGGAGAGAATGTATTTTTGGAAAAAAAAAAAAAAAAAAAAAAACTAAAAGAGGATGCTCGATGTAGTCAAGAGATTATTTCACTATTTCCATGATAGAAAGCCATGCCAGTAATTAAAAAAAAAAAAAGATAAAAAATTTGGTTTGCAAAAAAAAAAAAAAAAGAGGAAAGAAAGCAAAACTTCGAAACATATCATTGATTTTTCTAGCTCAAATTGGATGCACATGGCTGAGCATTGATATTCATACTTTTTTCAAGAGCATTTATGCAATGATAGTGCACCTTGTAAACCACATGATATTTGGGAGTCCAAATCATTAATGCCCTGATCAGCATCATCTCCATGGCCCCTTTCAGAACTTTAAATTTGGAATATTAAGAGAACAAATGGAGTATTAAGTGTTTTTAGATACTCTGACAGTTAATTAAGAGGGGGATGGGGGACGGTACCTGTCTCAACGTGCATGTGGGTTTAATGTTGTTTTAATGATTGCTTTCATTATCATATTTTTTTTAAAAAAAATATTAAAAAATCATATAAATCATATTTTATCACCTAATTTAGTAGTTTAAGATTTTGGATTGATAAAGGTTTTTAACATTGCTTGTTGATCAAGTTATTACGAATTTAAATCTTACTACTGTTATTTTTTTTGTAATTAATTAAGCTGATATATATAAGTTTGAAGTTTACACTTGAATGGATATATTAGAGCAATTTATTAATTTTTAAAAATTCTCAAAACAAACATGAAACAACAAAATTGTGGAAAATAAACTGTCAAGCTCTGAAAATTTATTCAAAAAGATAATTAAGGGTCAAAGGCTTACAAAGTTTATTTTGACAAAAACGGATGAAATAGAAAATTAGTGTGATAAAACAAAAGCAATCTAGACATGATATGTTGATCAAAATCACTAAAAATGATATGAAAGTGAACATTTAAAGTAGATTTTGACATTGGAAAAAAAAAAAAAAAAAAAAAGGGCATTTGACGCAGTCAAGACCATGTTGTAGGGCTCTGGATCAACTTTTAAATTGGATTTATGAATTCCGACTAGACATCTAGATAAAACATTATGGGAAGTTGAAGCTTTTATATCAATATATTCACTAGTTAGACATTCTAAATCAAAATACTCCCAAAACACAAAACGCCGAGGGGGTATAATTTTATTAATACTATCATTGTCTATATATAAAAAAAGTTATGCTAAATATTAAGAAAAAACTTCAAAATATTATGGGCTACAAGTAGATAAAGATTTTATTATGATATCAATGATCGTACCATTAATCCAACTAATAATCATTTTGAAGTTTTTTCTTATTATTTATTTTTTAATGTTTAACGTTTTTTAAATACAATTATCTCCAAAATGTGGTGCTTGCATACTGATTTGATGCATACAAATTAACCAGAAACACTCTAAACATATATATCTATATATGATCAAGCAAGAAAAATCCCTGTTTCTATGAGAAAATGAAACATGGCTACCAGAAAACAAGCAGGTTGGTAAATTACCATGCGATAGGACCGAAACAATCATATATGATCAAATCCCATCACAGAAAGATTCGTACTTATATTATATAGCATTTCGGTCATCTGGACTTTTTGTTGATTTGTTTTTACATGTATATAATTTGATGTAATCATTTCATTATAATGCATGGTAACCTGATTTGAGGAGAGGCACATTAGCTCCCTCCTTCCGCAATGATCACAGGAAGGTGCCCTTGAGCTTTTATATTATGAGACTCCCAAAGCGACCCTTATATCTTAGTAGATTGTGTGCAGTGTCCATGATTAGCTCCTCCTCATTCATGCATGATTGGATTGATCACATGTAACCACTTTTGGACTATATTCGACTTCCATAAATGGACATTTGTGGAAATTAATTTTTAGCACCAATAAAGTACTTTGATTGAAGAATAATGATTAACATGGTATCTAAGAGAACATGCTTATATGGCCTCCAAATCTCTAATCATGCTGACCATTTATATTTTATTTTCTCCCTTTTTTCTAGATTCTATCATCTATTTCATCATTGAATTCATTGTCTGGTTTTTTTTGGCGATACGCTTTCGTTTTGTATCCGGATCAGGTTTCAATTTGATGGTGTAAATAATTTCTGTCCATTGTTTAATTGAATTCGAGAGAAATATTTATACCATAAAATGACACTAACACATTAGCAAATGCCATCAATCAAGTTAGGTTTTAACGTTGGACCATCGTGACAAATGAGGTAAATTAAACATGTAATTGAGGAAATATTTTATTTTTATTTTTTTCTATAATTGTGAAGGCTGGCAAATGATTACCGTAAGTTAATATATATATATTATTGTTTAGAATAAATTAGTACCAAAACACGATTAGTATTTAGCCCATTACTGAACCTCCTCTTAAATCAAATTAGTCCAAACCTAATATCACTAATAAATAATTATATCTATTTTTTTATTATTGATTATTGCAATTTATTAGTAAAAAATATCATCACATGAGTCTGTGGGTCATCAATATCCAACATTGAATTGATCGGAATTATTCCTATTTACCTCTAAATTTTTTATTTTTAAAATTATAGAAATTGAAAGGGAGTTTCAAACGAAGTAATTAAAGTGATAGTAAATGTATTTCAATTCAAAAGTTAAAGAGATTGAATATTTTATTATATAATTTATATTATTTTTTAAATAAATTTTTTTAATTAAAATGAGAATTCCAACATGTATTGTTTGATAAAAAATCTTATAATATCTTTCAATCATTTTAATTCAAAAACTCGAACCTTTAATGAGATTTGAAATATAATTTATATTATTATATAATAACAAACACAAATTTTTTATTATACAAGTTTTCATCCGACAGATACACTCAAATGAGTTTTTTTTTCCTTACAAACAATCAAATAGAAATTTCATTGAATAACTATTTATTTAACAGGTAATTAATTTTTATTGAGTGGTCAACCAGATTCTTATGAAACCATAACCAGGCCCATTTCGTTGAGGAGGACATATTAGGAAAAATAGAAGATATTGAGGGCAAATTCTGTAAAGGAGCATGGCATGCTGCCTTATATAAACCGCTGACTGAAAAAACAGGGGGCAAGAAGGCAACATCAACCAACACCAATAATCAAGTGAAACGAAAAAAGAAGAAGTCCATGGTCCATACATCACTCTCACGATTCTCTCTCTAGTTCCTTAATTTCCTCTATCACCTTAGCATAATATATATATAAACTTTGGCGTAATGAATCCATCTTCATCGAAAGGCAAAAAGAAGCAGTCACAACAAGTACAGCAGGAACCAGGTACTGGATTAAGGTTTCTTGGTGTAAGGAGAAGGCCATGGGGAAGATATGCAGCAGAGATACGAGACCCTTCAACAAAAGAAAGGCATTGGCTAGGCACCTTTGACACTGCTGAGGAAGCTGCCTTGGCCTATGACAGAGCCGCTCGCTCCATGCGTGGCCCTCGTGCTCGAACGAACTTTGTTTACACTGACATGCCTGCTGGTTCTTCTGTCACCTCCATTATTTCCCCTGATGACCAACAATCTCAACAGCAGCAGCAACACCAACAACATAGCGATAATAATAAAAGCCAGTCTTCATTATTCTTCGATGGACCCCCCTCTCATGATCATCAGCTGGACTCAGCTCCCATTTTTAACCAGGACTTTAGCTCCCAACGCCATTTGTCAGACGGGTTTTCTTCAATGACATCTGGTGGAGATTTATCGAGCTGCTCCAGTAATAATACTTATAATCAACAACTGCAACAGCATGTTATTCAAAACGATGTGTTTTCTCATGATTTTCCCTCTGATATATCTCACAATTCCGGTTATAATATGGGTCAATGTGCTTGGACTGATTCATCATCTTCGGGATTGATGGGTTTTGAGGAGCAGACAGCAAACAATAACGGGTTTGAATCAGTGGGGAGTAGCAGTGGGTCCTATTTCGGGTTTGATTCTGGCGAGTACGTGCACAGTCCTCTTTTTAGCAGGATGCCGCCAGTTTCGGATATGGTACCAGATGGTTTTGATTTGGACTCCTCTGCTTATTTCTTTTAAAGAGCACTGAAACTGATTTGGCTTGTTCTTGGTTCTTGATTGCTAATTGGATACTGTGTTAAGAAAGAGTCAAAGCAGTTGAATGTTTCACACTCTCCAAATTTCGGTTTCAGGGCTTTGCAGTTGCAGGTGCATTGGCTTCTTTGTTTTCATGATTTAACGTGACATCAAGGCTTTCATGACCAATCAATGCCAGACTCTCGGCAGTGAAGAAAGGATCGTGACATTACGGATTGTTTCTCCATTGATCTCGAAACAAAGAGAATCAATCATCGGGTCTAGGGGTTCCCTGGTGTGTGAATATGTAAGGATTAAGGAACTTATTTTACGTGATAGATTAAAAATTAAGAACTGTCTGTGGTGAAAAAAATCAGTGGTGAAGTAGGACTTGTATGTAATGTGATTCTCAATTGTTAATTAAATTTTGGAGTGAAGTTTCTGTCCCGGAGCCCATTTGTTTGTTTTGGCATTAGAAAATTAGCAGCCATGAGACTGTAGCTGTGTACGAGTGTTCTTTCCTTTCCTTTTTTAATTTACTTTCTCTCTCCTTTTTTTTTTTTTTACGATACAAATAAATTTTGAGGTTGGTTTATTTCGCTTTAAAAATAGTGGTCATTACTAAAGTTCATGTTTTCGAATTGCAGAAGCAAATTTCGAACCCATAATTACTCATTACTCTAATTTGGTTTCTGACAATTTCTTTTTCAAGAATCAACTTCTTTATCAATGCGCCAATGCAGAATTGTACTCCTCTTTCAAATCTCATAACCCTTTTTTCGTCTAGGCCATGGCTGTTTCATCAAGGACGAAATAAACAACTTCTCTTGGGGAGTAGATCAATCTTATTTATGGTGATTTTTTTTTTTTTAATTCATTTTCACAATTTGAATGGTTTTACATAAATTTTGATTAATTATGGATATATTGTTGTTTATAAAATATTAAAAGTTATGGCACTAGTTTTGGATTTTGTCCACATTTGAATCATGTATTCTTCAAAAAATATATATATATTAAGACTTTTTTGTTTTGTTTTACTTAATTGAAACATTCTATTTTTTGAAATTTTTTACTTAAAATCCTTTGTTATAATGTCATCAATCAATAATCGATACGTAATATTGTAAAATAAATTTTTTTAAAAAAATTGATGTAGCATATTGATCAATAATTGATGACGTTACAATGAAGAATCTAAAATTAAAAATCTCAAAAAATAGAGAATTGTAATCAAATTTTTTTAAAAAACTCAATTAAAAAAGATTGAATAATACATGATCCATATATAGAGAAAACCTATTAGTTTTAGAAATATATGGATTGATATTCTTTAATGATACTGTTAATTAGTATTTGTCTTTTTTTTTATTATTATTATTTGAATCGGTCATGGTGTGTTTAATTATATAGTATATGATATTTTTGTGAAATGATTTAATTTTTAAGTTAAAAATACATAAAATTAATGCTTTTATCATTTTTTTTTATGATTTTGATATTTATATACTAAAACTATTCAATAACATTCAAACGAATTTAAGAAAAAAACACTTTAAAACGCGTTATTAACACACTTGAAACGACAGTAAATAGCTTGACATGATGGAAACATGTTAATTAATACAACAACTCAAGAACCTGAAAACGGGTCTGTAAAATATGCCTTTCGCAACCCAGTAGGGCCTGTAAAGTTCCCTTCGTCTTCGTCCTGGGCATTTTTAAGCCCTGTTATTGTATTCAGGCCTTGTGCTATTTTTCCACTAGTCTTCCAACCCATATATTATTCGATTATTTAATATGTTTTATTCTTAAAAAAAATTTACATAACATGATTTATAAATGTTAAATTTAGTGTTATAGCTTTTAATATTTTTATAATTCATCTTAAAGCGCTGTTGTTGTATCCAGGCCTGATGCCATTTTTTCTGCTAATCTTATTTTTAAAATTTTCAATATAAGATTTTGTGTTGTCGCTGAAAAAAAGGAAAAATGAGGAAAGTTTGATTTGTTATAAATCTTTTTTTGTTTGTTTTTAATTAGTAGGGAGACCATATAAATCACTCAAATACATAAAAATAGTATAACCATTTTAATCAAATCAAATGTTTCTACCGAGTTTTTGTCATGGATTAATAATAACTTCTTAAATAATTATATAATAGTAAAGTTCAGCATAAATTTTTTTGTTATCATATCACTTGATCTTAAGGTAGCCGAAGGTAACGATGCCCTGCCTCTCTCGGATCTTGGACCGCCTTTTGGGAAGGGGAAAAAAGGGGAATGCGATATAGTTTTACGCTCTACAGCTACATCGTCACCCTTCAAAGCCTTCTTAACCACAGGAAGCTTGGAGAAAGAACTAAAATTAGAAGAGATATAACCGCACCTACCAAAATCGTGATCCCGATTGAACTGCTGAGAAACGGAAGAGAAGAGAGACTACACTAGACTCCTAGACTCCAAAATGTATTGCCGTAGGATTATTATCTACATTATCGAACCTAAAGATAAACGGGTAGGAATTGCTGTCTGCACAATCCATTATTCATTAGTGAAAGAACTAGGCAGAACTAGCTATCACAACAAGGAAATTGACAGGTAGCAACGGAATAACTTTAAAAAAAAACTATTGCTAATTGTGTTTAGAGATGGATTTGCGACAGTCGAATTCCGTCGCTAAACATTTGTCATCGACCCTAATGACCGAAGAAACATATCCGTTGCTAAATAACGATGAAAATTCCATCACGAAAAGGATAAGTTTTGTTGCTAATGGGTCGTCAATCCTAGGATTTCGTCATCTCAAAATCCGTCACTAAATGTTTATGTCACTATTCCATCTTTATTTTTGTTGCTATTTCAAAACGTTAAGTTGTCGCTACATTTTTTTTTAAAAAAAGAAACATTATGTTATTTTTTAAAAAAAGCTGTGATATTCTCGGTAGTAATTAACAATTAGAAAAAAATGCATTATTAAAATTTAGTTTTTTATTAAAAATGAAAATTAAATAAATAAGTACAAAAATTATATGCTAGTACATATAAAAAGAAAAAGAAAAAGAAATGCCACTCATTTTGATCATTCGATCCCCTCTCCTTATCCCGTGGCTCGATGGGAGGAACGATGGCGGCTCGTTTGGTGGACGGATCTATAGGCAATTCGATCGTCCGTGCCGACCTAGTCAAAATTGAGGCAAGTGTGTTGTGTAGAAACTATAGCCCCTATATGAAACTCTGCTGCTACGTGACAATGTTTTATAACTCATCTTGTTTGGCCTCGCATCCCCCGTATCATCTCGCTTCGTCTCTTCGTAGTACCTCCAAACATCCTTATTAGACATATCCTCGGTATAATGCGACAACACGGAGGACGAGCCGGCGCCACTTGGCTAAGACAGATAATACGATGCTTGTGTGCCTACATCATAAACCTTCTTTTTTTCTCCTCTACGACCTTAAAGATATATGACGTTCTTATCAATATCCGGCCCTAGGATTCCTTTCGCTCGTCGCATCGCAATGACTTCTTGTATGAGCTATTCAACACGCTCCCGCATAATCGAAATAATTATATTGATAAAGAATTAAAATAAATTATAAATTATATTTGCATATATAAAATTTAAAAATAAAAAACACTTACCATGGTTTCGTCGGGAGTGCATATCAACAAAAGAACCATCTCCCTGTTTGTGAGTAATCCGAAACGACTCAAAATCAAATGACAAACATGTTCTTTCGAAGGGATTGGCCTTCCCGTATGTCCGGAAGGGCCTACACTCGATCCATTAGTCATCTAAATCTAGTTTTGCAACGCCCGCTCTAAATGAACCTTGCAATAGAGTCTAGCAAAATCTTGATGCCACGAGTCTCAAACCTCGGGCCTAATAAAATGAAGCCGTTTAGACATCGAACCATAGTTGTGGACGAAGTCGAGTAGTGCTTCCATGCTAGAGCCTCCTAAACTTCTCTAGTAATCGCCTCGATGGTCGGATCCTAGTAAAAATATTTCTCCACGAATTAAAATAATTAATATTAACTACTTAAATTAATGGTAAATTAATATTTTAAATATAATAAAACCAATTTATAAAACACTATCCTAAATTCACTAAAGTAAAATTGTTTAGTGACCTCTAAGATGGATTTTCATGTCACATAGAGGCAAGTGTGTCTTATTGAGAGTATAACCCCTGTATGGAACTTTACTACTACGTGATATTATTTTACAGCTCATCTTATATGGCTCGCATCCCTTGTATTGTACTGTTTTGCCTCTTTGTATTGCCTCCGAACCTCCTCATTAGACATGTCGTCGGTATAATGCAACAATACAAAGGACGAAATGGCGTCATTTAACTAAGATAGATAATATGAAGTCTATGTGCCTAAACCATAAACTCCTTTTTCTCCCCTATAGCCTTGAGTTATATGGCGTTCTTGTCAACCTCCGGCTCCGGGATTCCTTCCATCTATTGCATCGTAACAACTTCTTATATGAGCTCTTCAACGGACTCTTGCATAATCGAAATAATTATATCATTAAAATATTAAAATAAAATTTAAATTATATTTTTATATACAAAATTTAAAAATAAAAAACACTTACCATTGGTTGCTCGCGAGCATAGATCAACGAAAGAAACATCTCGTCATTTGTGAGTCGCTTGAAATAGCTCAAAACTCATTGGCTTACGCTCTAATTTTACCCCCCGAAAAAAAAATGAATCACAAATAATATGAGATGGAAATTAAAATTTTAGGAAACATGTAATTAATAATAAAAAGTGTGTAATTTACTAAGCGACGAGCGTTCTCTTTCGAAGAGATGGGCCCTTCGTATGCCCGGAAGGGCTTACACGTAGTCCAATGGTCTCTAGCATTCGATTTCGCGATGCTTGCTCCGAACAAGCCTTGCAATCAAGTCCGACAAAATCTTGATGTCACAAGTCCCGAACTCCCGCCTAATAAAATGAGGTCATTCGACATTAAAGCATGGT